TAGTGACAACAATTACAACAACAATAACAATAACTACAATAACAACAATAATATTAATTACATTAATGATAATAACAAGTTAATTGTTGATAAGAATGATGATGTAGAAGCCCTTGCTAATGATTTTACAGTCTGCTATTTTGTAAGTGCTGTTGTTGCTGGCTGGATATGTTATCAATGTTGAAGTTGTACTTTGTTGTAGTTGTAGTTCGTTGATGTTTGTTGTTGTTGTTGAAGTTTGTTGTTGTCGTAGTTTGTTGTTGTAATTTGTTTTTGTTGATGCTGTTAAAATGTTGCAGTTTGTTTTTAGTTTACTGTCAAACCTTTTTCAAATATATTCATTTGAAATTTAACACAGAACCAAGATGTGGAGATGATTCGAACATCAACAACAACAACGACAACAACAACGACGACAACATCACCGACCATGTCTGTATCCTTATCAACAGGACCACCCCCAGCACAGCCACAGCAGCCAAAGCAGCAACGACAACAGCCTCAAAACTCCAATGGTACTTCTCTACACTACCAAAACGTTGACTACCAAAGAGACTACGTGGTATCAAATGACGATGACGACGGCGATGATGACGTCGGTAACGTCGATGACGTCACTGCTGATGATGACGATGAAGAGGAAGAAGAAGCTAATGACGTCAGCAACGACGATAACAAAGACAATAAAAATAATTGCTGCGAAAATGGCTGCACCGCAACCATGGACGCCCTATGCGAAATATACAACCAGCGACAACATCAACAGCAGCAACAACTAACCAACGATAAATCATTTCGACCTGCAACCAACAACAACAATAATAATAATTATATTAATAATAATCATAATAATAATAATAATAATAATAATAGAACCTATAATGAAATGAGCCGTAGTAACAGTTGGCACAACAACAATATTTACAACAACTCTGTGACCACTTCTAGTCAGCGCTATAATAATAATAATAATAATAATAATAACCATCATCACCAGCATCATAACAACAATAATAACAATCATGGTAGGTACAATAGTAGTAGTAGTAGTAATAATAACAATAATAATAATAATCAAAAACAGCATTACAGAAATTACAATAATAATAATTACAATAATAATAATTACAATAATAATAATAATTACAATAATAATAATAATTATAACAATAATAACTACAGCAACAACAATAGTAGCGTAAATAGTAGGTTATCTAATAACATTAATAACTTGAGTCCGTTCAGGCAAAACAACAACAACAATATCAACAACAACGTCATCATCACAGCAATAACCAATATTACAACAGCAACAACTACGACGAATAAAAATATTAACAGTGTAAGCAACAACAACAACAGCAGCAGCCTTTTAAAAACAACAACGACATCACTGCCGTCATCATTAGCAGCAACAACAACAACTACAACAACAACGTTAACTAGCTTTAAACAGTCAGCTATATCGTCGTCGCTATCTATGACATCAATACCCCAACAACAGCAACGAATAAACAACGTCAACAATATAACATACAACAACACACAACAACAACAGCAACAACCTCACATCAATTTTCGTAACAGTAGCAATAACAGGAGGAGAAATTTTAACAACAGCAACAACATATACAACAACAACAACAACATCAACAACATTAATAACAACGTATATAACAACAACAAAAGCAACAAATATTCATTACATTCAACGACGGTTGCAACTACACTAACAACAATAACATAACAATAATGTTTTTGTTCGTTTATTTTGACAGTATATTTTTAACGTATATACATGTGTATACATATATATATATATGTATACACATGTATGTATGTATGTAGCTAGTGTAATTAAATTTAGATATTTTATAAATGTGTTTTGTCAAATATGGAATAATAATAATAATGTTTGTGTATGTTATATTTTTTACAAAACTATTAAAATAATACATAAAAAGAATTTTAATTAATTTATTGGTTTCTCTCTCTCTCTCTCTTTAGCTACCCTCCGTTTTCGCACTATCTCTTTTTTAATCTTGTTCTTCTACCTTCTCTTATCCTATCCTCTTTTTGTGTTTCTCTTCAACTCTTTTCATTTGATTCTCTTGTCTCTCTCTATCTTTCTCTCTCTCTCTCTCTCTCTCTCTCTCTTTCTCTCTCTCTCTCTCACTC